AGTACAATCAGTTTTGAAAAAGGACCGTTTCCCCCCCCCCCCCCAATGTAATCAATGTCATGGTGTTGGAGCTAGTGGATTAGAGATCCACAATCTAGCAAACCCGCTTAAACGGACCCTGCTTTTTAATGAGCAATGGGTTGAGATGGTATTGTCACCTCACAACAGGACAACTTTATAAACCAGGCCAGGACAAACATCACTGATATCTACAAGTCAGCTGACAAAGTAAGGAGCCAGCAAACTACAGCCAGTCACCATGGCAATCAATATTTCCCAATCTTATTTTACTGACCTGCACACATAGGGGTAAATAAACCTGTATTGCAGACCAACCTCCTGGGTACACATTGTGCAAAAAAATAAAAAATAGAGCTGTGTCCCTGAAAAAATATTGTTTATTTGTACAGACTGGTTTAAAATACTATATTAATGCAAGGTAAAACCTCAAGACCAGTCTGTGTCCCAAATTTTTTGATACACACACAAAATTATATATATATATACACATATATATATATATATATATATACATACACATATATAAACACAGTTTGATTCCTAACTATAGTAGTCCTTAGCAAACAAGTGGAATCCATCTAGCACTGGTCTGACTTCACCAGAATTAATTTTCACACTGACAGGTATTCACTTATTTGCATGCAGTTCCTTCTACCGGTAATTCCCCTGTATGATTGGATGTTTGATGCAAGTACAGGTTTACTTCTACTCACTTCACTTAATTAATAGTCAATTTGGCCTATGTTCAGCTTACTTTACAAGAATTCAAATGTTAGTAAATCATGACCTTGGTGTTCAAGTTTCTAAATAGCTATTTTGCTAGAACCAACCTGGGAGAAATTTGTTTTAGTCTAGTATTTGGCCTCAATTTCCATCTTAGCAAGGCTGTGTAGGGCAAAAAAACGTGAGCCCATGAGCTAATAAAAGGAGGTTACCAGCCTGGACTGGAATTGCTACAGCTATTGGATTACAGTAACTGGGAGACCATTAAGAAAAGTATTGTTGCTTAGTAGTAGGTAATCATGTTAAGCACATAACAAACCTGCAGGTATACAAGAGGGGCAGTGTAGGTCAAACTTAAGTTGTTGTTATAATAATAAAAACAATACATTTACTTACATTTATTGCTTTGAAGTTTCCTTTTACTTTTTTGCATTATGAGAAGAGTTTTGTTTTCTAAACTCCTATGGTCCTGTTATTTCACTCCCTTTTGTCTTGTGTTACAGCTTGGACTGCACCCTTTCCCCTTTGACAGCATCACCTTACTGGCTTACGGTTTTGTATGTTTACAGTCATACAGAAATACTTGTAACTCAATCCTACAGATAAAGATAGTGAACATAGTGAGGGTCTAAAAAGGTCTATAAGGAAACTGACAGCTTCCTATGCAGCAACTAGAAGCCTAATGATTTTTATAAGCAAGAAGGTCCTCTTTTTGGATACTTTTATGCACGGGGGAAGATAGAGTGTATTAAGCTTTATTTAACTTTTATTTGAAAAATTTAGAAGTCACATTTACAATTCAAAGATTTCATGGCCAGAGCTCATGGATGTGTAGATGTCCAGGACAAATTTAGCAGCGTCAGTACAGCCTGGATAAATTGACCATAACCCTATGACTAATATGCCTACCCAAAAGGACAAAGGATTTATTTAGTGCACTTAATACAAAATGTTCTTTGTTTTTATTCTGTTTTTTTATAACCAGCCAATAAATTGACAAAAATAAGATAAACTCGATTCTGCCTTCTTCAGAATGCCGTGCTATCTGAAGACTAAAAGGTTTATTTTATGAAACACATTTTCAAAGTGCATGTGATCACTAGGTCATAGCTGACATAGCATTCTCATTACTGTAACCACTGATGGGTTCATACTCGTTAGTGGGGAGTGAAGCTGACAATGACAACCCAGTGTCAAAGACGTGTGTAGTGTTGGCCGGTAGTTGTCAAAGGGGAATATAGATTAATGGTTCCTCAGCATGGGGCATCATGCAGCAAACCAACAATCTACAGAAAAGGTTAACTGCTTGCAGTGTCATAGCTCGATTCTTGTGTTGCATATGAAGACTTGTTAGTGCTCCCGCTGTCATCTGTATTTTAGAAAATGTGATCGGAATTCAATGCAAAAATATTGGCTGCCATTCCTAGCTTCCTGCGATTTGTCTGGATGATACCCTGGTTTTTAATTCTTTCTAAATCAATGACTTCAAAAAAATAGATGAAGTTTATACTCTTTTTCTGCATGCTTAGTGCAGGCCAGTGACTTTGTATAGGAAGTGTTAAAGCCACAGGATCTGGGTGAAAGCCAGGGATCTAGAGTTTTACAGAATATGGTTATCAACTGGCGTCTATATTTTTCTCCTCACAAGGAAGAGAAGCAGTGATTCACACATGTCACAATTAGGCAGAAGCTGCATATGCACAAATACAGTAAATAAATAAAACATTGTTTAGGTCCCTGTAAACATAATAATTATATTAAAGATATGCACATGGCACATTTATGGATGTATGGTTCACCTTTTTCAGGGTCCTCAAGGTGCTTGTTCACAAATTCCACAGCATTGGCAACTTCCTCGTCACTACAGACATTCATCTGAAGGACTTTCATGCGATCACATTGTACATTTTCCAGTTCCTGAGCTCCTTCTCCATTCTTATCCTGTAAATATTGCAGAAGAATGTGCACTGACTAAAGTAATGTACATTAGTAACAATGAAAGGGAACTGGTATACACAGCAAGGTATTTGCATAAACCGAGCACAATAGGATCTGTCCAAATTACAGTAATTATATAAATTAAACACATATTAGTTATTACCATGTTT